CCATTTGGATTTAAATGTAAGGGAATTGAATTAAAATACATTGGAGTTCAAAGAAATGAATGTAACTTTTTATATAGAAATGCCAAGTTTGTCAAGATAAGTCATGTTAGAAAATTTTAAAAGTTTAAATCGGAAGTCTTGAAATTGGATGGATGGATGGATGGATGGATAGAAGGATAGACAGATAGACGGTAGACGATGGGTGGATGGATAGGGTGGAATGACAGATATATAGATAGATGGATGGATGGATAGACAGATAGACGGTAGACGATGGATGGATGGATGGGTGGAATGACAGATATATAGATAGACGGATGAATGGACAGATAGATAGATAGATAGATAGATAGGAAACCAGTCACTACCATTTTGTTCTGACCCCATTCTTTCAATCTCAACTTTCGTTTCTGCTGCTTAAAATATCATAAATACAAAAACAAGGACATTATTTTCTCGTATGTATGCTCATCGAACCATAAATAATTTTCTACTGTGACATTCCTTCAGGCGCATACTAATTCAATGAATGTTAATCCGCATCAAAATCCTGAGATAACCATTCGTCAAACAGTGACCTCTTTTCCTCGCCTTTTATTTATTGCCAATGGAACAGTGTAATTAGAACACCTTTGGGACGTTGCCCGTGTGTAACCTCTGATCACAGCTCCACACACACACAATAAGTGATGCATCCTCTGGGGGCTTTCTGGCCTTGCTGCAGTGGGTGGGTAGCTCTGGCTATTGATTTGGATGGTGAATGGCTGGTAAATCTCAGGAGAACCAATACAAATAATTACGAAGAAAATCACAGATTTCTGATTTGCACATGCATAATTGCATGGCAGAGTTATTAGAAGAGCGGCGGAGGTGGCATACATGGTCATTTGTGCCCAGAAGAAAATTTGAATGTTTTTTGCTCTTTCATGGTTCTCAGGGTTTTTTTGAAGTATCAACATCGACTCAGATTTCTCCTAAATACCCTTAGGGAAAAATAGAAATATAGATATATTTATGTAGTGAAGCTTAGATAATTTGGTAACTGATCAGAACAGTTTGAGATCTTTTCTGAAACTCTTGAGTAGATATGTGAGATTACTTGGGTCTTTGCTTAGGAGAGTTGTGATAGTCTTCATTTGTTCTTATTGGTGTCTCAGAGAAACAGTTTAAGATTAAAGAGGTCCTGTTTGTGGGTGCCATGACTCCTGCAGCGAGGAGAACAGAGCAGATGAAGATAACTTTATGGAAATGTACTGTAGATGGCTCAGCAGTAGGCTCAGAAAGAAAAACAGTTCAAACTACTATTTCTGTCCTTCACCATCCATTAAGTGGTGGCACGATATGAACAAGGATGAAATTAGACCTTTCCCCATGCAGGAGACAAGAGGGAGGTTCTGCAAGTGAGCTATTGTTCTTAACCAGCCTGTAAACAATGACTAACATGACAGTTCACCCCCTCTAGGCTTTCTCATCCATAGAAAACACATCCTCCTCCTCGACTGATTCTGTAGGCTGCATATGGCGAGGAGGAGGAGACAGGCTTTAGGAAACTTAGATGAGATGGAGGTAGATGATGCTATTTCCATATTTTTTTTCCCGCTAAAATATACTTTCTGGAAAATTTATGTATATAAATTGCATCAGTGCATTACATGTAATTTCAAGAATGATTATGAATGCATGAATCAAACTCGATTGGAATGTCTACAGTTTCTCACACGGTTTTCCAAGCATCATGTGTGTGTTCCCCAGTCCAAATGTGTGTGCATATGCATATATGCCCCTGTGTGTGTGTGTGTGTGGGCTGGCTGGGGGGTCCAAGGGAAGAGGAAATTGTTCTTTGAATGGTGTGCGCTCAGAGACATAGTAAAGAGCACTCTCCCAGGCGGCCAAGAGCACTTGATTGTACAACAAGCAATGATCGCATTAAGAGAGGGCAGCAGGAAGAGAAAGAGAGAGATAAACAAAGAGACAGAGAGTGGGAAGGAAATAAATTGACTTTGCCAGTGGCTTAGTCTGCTGATGGGAGAAAATATAGAAAAAAAATTACTATTAATGTGCTACATCCACAAGTGTGTTAGGGGTAATGGTTTGTCTGCCTGTATGATTGACCCTGTTATAGTGGTCACTGTAAAAACAGGTTTTACAATTTCAAGAGTGGAAAACAGCAAGGTTTGACTGTTGTATATCTGTAGAGGTAAAAAAAAAACAGCGTTGGGCTTTCAAAATATGTAGCATAGTAAAATTAAAGTAATATTTTTCTTGCTCGATACTAGTTAAGTTACTAGAATCACTACTTTTAGTTAGTTACTCCCCAGTACCTAGTCAAAAAACAATGGGCTACATTTATGCTATGAAGAGAATGATATTCCCTTTTATTGGTTTATCCTCTATCTGTTTTCATATTTCCTTATGTTCCTCACTTAACAGGGAAAAGCACAATTTTAGAAGCATCTGCTGAGCAAAATTTGTCCATGGATAAAAAGACGAAAGAAAAAAATACAGCAAGCAGATGGCGCCTCAAGGTTCAGACGATTAGAGGTTGCAGATTGGAATACAAATTGGATTAAAAGAAATTAGACTAATAAAAATCGAATCGCATGGCAAGTGCAAGCATATTCACCTCAGTCATGTAAAAGTCTCTGCCAGTGGCTGTCGATTAGAAGCTAAACAGATGCTCCAGTGAGATAGCAGTTAATATGTGTGTATATGTGCGTTCTTGGCGGACATGGTCCCACCATCATCCCCTTATCTCGACCCACCCCATTTATCAATGTCATAATGTTAATTAGTGGTTTGTTCATTTAGTCACTTGCAACATCAAACGATCTTGTTTCGGATTGCTGAAAGCAGGACATAAACATAAATGAGAAACAAAATGTTATAAACATTTGTGTTAATTCATAAAAAATTTGTATGTGTATAAATTGATTCTGGACTTCTTTAGATCCAGAAGGGCATATTCTCTGCATGGTTACACCAAGGTTGCATCAGGTCGTAGTAAATGCCCTGACCTTAAATGAGTTTGACACCTCAGTTTTTGAGGGATGCAGACTGTCAATAGGGAAGGAGAAGGAGAAATGCGAGAGGCAGTGAGAGAGAGCAAAATCAGTGTGTCTGCAAACTTCAGCAGAGCTCGGTTTCATAGTATGTAGCACAGCTTAAACATGAAACCTGGAGAGGGTACAGGATAAGATCTCGCCCTGTCAGTAGCTAGTCCCTTGTGTGACCCCCAAGTCTGCACTGGGTCCTGTGTGTGACCCCACTTAGATAGCACACAGCTGGAATGATCATTAATCAATGAGTGGGAAATGGCAGGAATTAGCACAAATTAGGTGAAGTGGGGAGTCCTTGCTCCCTTTAATAGAGTCCGTACTGGACTGCAGGAGAGAATTAACTTTTAGAGCACACTAACACATGCTAGACTCAGCAAAACATATTTGCATACTAACAAACAAGCTTGCTTCTCTGCTATGTTGTGTCCTGGTCCAACAGGTAAGAATAGGCAGCGTGGATCTCGCATTTAGCAGTGACTCTAAACACCCTAAATAAATGCTCTGTTTTACTGCAGTTCCAGACATCAGCAACCGAAAGAGTTTAGCTCAAGCTAGCTGTTGCCACTGGGGCTCTCATAGCGTAGGAGGTCCAGTCTGCGCTCTGCAGTGGTTTGTGTTGAACAAACGACTAGCAAGCAGCTGTTTTAGCAGTGCTAAACAAACAAAGCTGCACAGAGCTGTGTGCTAGCATGCTACTCTCTCGGGAGGTTTAGCCACTAGCAGTGCCTAGAAAAAGCTAAAAACATATTGTGCTTAATTTGTATATGTAACTTCTTGGTCTTGTTGATGATCTTGCGTTATGCTCTTTTTTTTTATTAATTTTTTTTTTTTTTTTAGATTTCTCTCTATGAAACTTGGTCATTATGAGGCCCACAGTGTATGTTTTTTGGTCCCCACAAAGATGCCTGACACACTTCTTATACTGAACAATCATATGCTAAAATCATATCCCCTTCCCCTTTGCAGTTACTCCTAGTGTTAAGCGATTTAAATCCCTAAAAGAAGTAGAAAATCAGCATTTACAATCTTAAGGGTGTTTCCAAGCTAGCCATGTGCTACTGAAGCGTGTAAAGCTTACAGCATTCATCTGATGGTAGCGGTTCGGGCTTAGCATCTCTTTTTGGCCGGGTTTTGGGGGGATCAGCGGCTGCTTTTGTCCCTCTTTGGCCCGTGCCTTAGTGATGTAAATGCAGGGTGGCCTCTGGCTTCTTATCTCTAAGGTTAAGGCTCACACTGCTCTTTCTGCAATCTATTATCATAAGGGCCAGACTCCTAGCATGGGCTGCTAGCTTTATCCATACCAAATGCAGGGCCATGCAGGGGAACGCTCAAGGGATTAGCATTTTAACACAGTGTGAGTCTAAACTCCTGAACCTCTCTGTCACAGAGGGCAAGTCCCCAATGGCTTGCCAGCTCACTATGCGGCACCCTAAATTAGTGTGCTGGATCAGAGAGATGGGTTGTGTTTTGACATGGCTTTTCTTGGCTCAGAAACATTGCTTTTGTATGCTCAGTGAACAACTGGCAGTAGAGATAAAGGATTGTTTTAAGGGAGTATTTATTAAGATTTTCCCAACTCAAACCTTACTTTTTCTGGCTTAAAGGTTCTTTGGAGATTCAAAATGTTAGATTGTGATTGCCAAGACCAGGGGTGTCCAGTCCTGCTTCTGAAGGGCCACTCTCCTGAAGAGTTTGGCTCCAACACCAGTTAAACAAATTTAAACCTTATCAAGGTTTCCAGAAAGACTAGAAGCTTCCAGACAGGTGTGTTGGCATAAAAATGAGCTAAAATCTGTTTGACATTGGCCCACCAGGAACAGGATTGGACACCCCTGGCTAAGACCAATGCTAATTGGTTTGTTGCAGTCTTGTGGAAGCTATATCATGTTGAATGTTAATGTAAGTTTGGACCTGACAAGTCTTCCTTTTTCTCTGTTTTCCCAGGATCCCGTCTACGGCAGGAAGATTCTCCACCTCGGATCGTAGAACACCCCTCCGATCTAATTGTATCCAAGGGCGAGCCAGCCACCCTAAACTGCAAGGCAGAGGGGCGGCCCACCCCTACTGTGGAGTGGTACAAAGATGGAGAACGAGTTGAAACCGATAAAGATGACCCTCGATCCCACCGCATGCTCCTTCCCAGCGGCTCGCTCTTCTTCCTGCGTATCGTACATGGCCGTCGAAGCAAACCTGATGAGGGGGCGTATGTTTGTGTGGCACGCAACTACTTGGGGGAAGCAGTCAGTCGAAACGCCTCACTGGAAGTAGCATGTAAGTATGCGATTTCTTTAATTATTGTCTTGAGACACAGTAACAAGCAGGGTTGGAGAACTTGTTTTTTCCATGAACCCCATGGACCAGACTACACCTTAATGTGTACAATTACACAATTCTGCTTTTAGAATACCACAACTTTTGCTTCATAGAATTGTGATTTAGTATTGCATCTGATGGATTTTGTAAAAGGCCTGATTTCCCTAGTTCTAAAACTATCAGTGGGAACTATTTTGCAGTTGGCTTCTTACTTTAATTAGCTCTACATATGTTTTAGCAAATCTTAGAAATATCAGTCTGTTTCAGGACAATCTACCAGGCTTGTAGTTTTCCCTTCTGTCTGAGAAATGGAAATGATAGGGCATGCCAAGGAAGTGCTATGTATGGAAGGAGGGTGTTTACACTCTACACAGGAAGGCAGAATCTGGGAAGGGGGCTTATTGACAACCTATAGATGGGTTCTGCTTTGAAGATGGGTCTCTGTTGGGTTGACTTGCATTTTCAGAGAGAGCACATCCCCTGGGATCAAAACCCCAAGCTAATCAAAGACCATTATGAGTGACAGCTAACCTGTCCTCATTTGCTTTTCTACCAGCCAATGAGTATGCTATTTTAATGATAGGCCTTTTTGCTAAATCATTGCTGATAAATGGACTGTTCTGGCCAATAAACTCTTTGCTGGGCAGACCTTGTGCCTATTGTCTTGGGAGTTTGTGATCTTTGTGATTAGTGAATACATTTCAGCATCTATAGTTGGTTTTAAGCCTTTATTTCTTTTAATGTGGCATAAAAGCTAGCTACGCTAGCTTAGCAGATATGCCAAAGCAAAAGTCATTAGAGATTAAGGAGTATTGGTCTTGCTCCGCTGAGTTTGTAGTCTAGACCTGAAGTCTAAGTGAGCTGCTATCTTGAAGTCTGTTTCAACCCGAGCTGATCAATACTGCGTCCTCTCTTATGCATTGTTATGAAAATAGGAGCGATCCATCATGAAATAGGGATATGATGATAAATATTGAATGTATGGATAACTAAATTGGCTCTGTGTGCTGCCGCCAAGACTCTATGCAGTAATGGGAGGGTGTGTGTGTGTTTAGATGTTGGAAAGAGTAACTCTAGATGAAGGGATTGTGGGAAGGTTTTGAGAGCCAGTAAATTTTGAATGCTGCTGCATTTTCTATTTTTAACCTGTAATTGATGATACAGTACGGTGATTTGGGTTAAAGGATGGAAATGCAGAGATGATGTTTGCATTTAGTTTTTGCAAAGGGTACTTTCAAGCTAGCAATTGCGGGAAGCTTTTCAGTAATATTTTTGAATACATTTTATATCTTTAAACTGTAATTGATGATACACAACTGCGTTTTGGGTTATAGGGTATATATAGAAGGGTATAAAGGCAGTAAGTGTGTGTGTGTGTTGTGTGTGTTTTCACTCGTGTAGCTGGCAGGGGGGTGTGTGTTTTCTCTGATCCTCTCAGCTCTTCCCAAGCGGTTGTGGCGGCCCCCAGGTGCTAACTGTGTGACAGCAGCTTGATCTATCGATCGCACTAAGAGGGGTCTCCTCGCCTAAATGAAAATTCATGAAAAATTGATGAAGTCCCCGATTATTCCTTTTTTCTCCTCTGCTAGCTCTTGTATATCTCTTTCACTTCCCCCTATCTGTTCTCGTTAGCTCTCTACGTTTCCAGCATGGCGCTAAGTCAGATGCTTTGTCTGAAACCTAATCTAAAAGGGCACTGTTTTGTGAATGAAGGTAACTTGTAAGGAAACAAACCGGTTTCCAAGACACTATAACGTCATCTAATGATCCAAAACAATATTCAGACATAACCAAGCAAACATTTTGTAGTCAAATGTTGATTCAAATAAATAAGTGCATCACACACTTTTTTTGTTCTTTCAACCAGATATTGGAATGCTTCCTACCGCCATATGCAGCCTGCAAAGGCAGCATTTTTCAGGTTTTAGACACAACCTGAGTTGACTAAACGAGTTTAAGTGAGCTGTAGGATGTTTTATGACTTTCAGGTGAGAGGTGAAGGGTCGCAAGGTTAGTGGGACAGAGGATACTAAACCTACAGCAGGAAAGAACTGTACTTAAATGAGACCCCTCAGCTGTGTTACGTTACCCGATTTCCACTCATGAAACTTCTCTTTACTGGTGAGTGATCACAGAAGCGAAGCCAATCTAAACCGATACAGCTCATGTATCGCTCCAAGCAAAATATGTTTCATCTGTCACATCGTAGAAATATTCTGAAGCGGCGCTGTTTTCTCAAGAAGTAAATGTTGATTTTATAGCCAGCTGTGTATATCTGATCTATATGAAATACTCCCAGACTCACATACGTATAAAACGTTCACCTCCAAAACAAACAGCTGGCCTTCAGTGACAAACTGAAAAATGTTCCAGACTGTTTTGTGACGTTCATTTTAGGGGTTCCGACCGTGGTTACAAGCCCAGTACTTTTTCATCTTCGTGTCACAAGTCGTCTCCTGTTGCGATATATGGTTCTGTCTCTCTCTCTCCTTCTTATATGGGGTCAGTCCGCACCCCCGCAAGCTGAGTGAATGGCTCGGTTGAAACAGATTGCAGGCAGGCGTTCGCTGTGGACCACTGGAGCTGCCCGATCAGAGAGACCTCAAGCTGGGCTGCAGGAAGCAGAGAGAGGCCTGTGAAAGGAGCAGATTGCAAGGAGGTGTCCGCTGAAGCAGGATTATCTCAAACGCTAGTCTTTAACAACTGACCATTAGTAATGCCACAAAGAAAATACACAGATCTTGTTACGTATGTTTGTGTCCTTGAGAGCTGTGGAGTGGAGGTGTGAAAGGGTTAATTTTGTCACTATGATGATGCAAAGTGCTTATTTGTCTCAACACAATTCTTTGTTTCATACTTCTGTGGAGTTTAGCGCTTCCATGCTTACACCTCTTCAAATGGTGAATTTCTTCTTTTAAAAGTACCGAACATGTCTTTCCACTTACCTCAACATAAATTAATCCCTTTCCTGTCATTTATAAGGTCTTAATTAGAGCAGAAGAAGAAGAGAGTGTAAAAGGTGCTGACAGGCCACAGGGATCGACTGGCTGAATCCCAATTCACATACATCTACTGTAGCCTAAAGGCACATAATTCATTGGTGATGCGTACATGCTTGAAATATATTAAGTACCTATAAGGCCTTTCTTGGCATTACAGTGTTTACGTCTCAGAGAAATCAACTTCCTGTATGAATGGGATTCTAATAATTGTCTCTGCATGTTAAGCTGGGTGTAATTTTTTAGCATTTAGGCTAACAAAGATATATTTAAGAACTGCTGCAGCGGTTTCGGCATCAACTAATTAATTTGTTTTCTAAAACTGACTAAGTTGAATAAGAGCACAAGGGGTTGTGGGAAATATTAGCCAACTTAGCATACACTGACAAACTTTGCAGCATGCTAAACTAGAGAACACTGTTTACCATGTGTTTATACATGTTTTATGTACTGTGGGGACATTCACATTTTAATCTCACATACTATATGGAAAGGATAGGAAGTGAATTTGGATTTTTTTTTTTATCTTAAATGTAACTTCATTTGGCTTTTATATCTCTCTCAGACAAGCTTTTACATACTCTGTCTCTCTATGATGTATATATGATGGATACATTTCGGTCTAGGCCGCACCCTGTAGCACTCCACTCCTTGCTTCTGCATGGGAAAGATATTTTGTTCTTTTGTTGCTATTATTCTTTCTCTGTGTCTCTATGTCTCTCTCCCACTCTCTCTTTCTGCCTCTCTCTCATGGTCTTTCTCTTTCCCTTCTCAGGATAAACTGGGTCAATGACCAGGTTCATAAATCATTGTGAAAACTATGTCAGACTGAGGCAAGCCCTGCTTTGAATAAATTTGCCAAAGTGGTGAAATCTCTGGTCGTAGCTTGTGTATGGGCACTATGTGACAAGCCACACCTGGGGCACACAGTCATCCAGGAAAATGTTAATTAGCCCCCTGTATCTCTTCTCAGGTGGAGAGGTGTGTGTATTATAAATCCGAGGGCAACAAGCTTGTTGAACATGGGGGCAGTAATTAAGCATAAAAGGTGTGAATGTGTGTGTGTTTGTTTCTGCTAATGTTCTGCGCTAATAACAATGTGAAAGTGTGTATGTACTTTGAATCTTAGCGACAAAAAGTGCTGTTTCGTTCACTTGTAACCTTTAAAAAGTATGCAAATGAGGGAAGGGTGAAACAGATGTCATTACTGGTTTGTTAAAAGGCCACCAGCCTGGTATTGGCTGGTGTGTTTGAAAAGGTTCTTTTGATACGCTTCAGCAATTAAGAGTATGGTTAGGCAGCATTTGGAACTGTGAGATTAAGTAATTAGTGGAAAAATGGTGCTTTCTTGTGTTAAGCTTTTCTGTTGCGTCTCAAGCTGTTTGACTGTGTGTCCAGCATCAGTAAAATCTAATAAAAGAGGATGAAAATAATTGAACACACAAAGCTAGTAGGGGTGGGTGGTATGATCTGCTTCTGTTGTCCTCATTTGTAAGTCGCTTTGGATAAAAGCGTCTGATAAATGACTAAATAAAAAAATAAAATGATCAAAATCTTAAATCATGTAATTTTATTTTATGATAACAATATATACACTACCATTCAAATATTTGGGGTCAGTAAGATTTGTTTTTGTTTGTTTGTCTTAAATTAATATGTTTATTTAGCAAGGATGAATTAAATTGATCAAACGTGACTTTAAAAAACTTTTATGATGTTTACAAAAGATTTATTTTCAAATAAATGCTGTTCCTTTGAAGCATCTATTCTTCAAAGAATCCTGAAAGAAAAAAAAAAAAGATCATAAAAATATTAAGCAGCACAATTGTTTTCAACATTGATAATAAGAATAATGTTTCTTGAGCAGCAAATCAGCATATTAGTTTCAGTGTTTTTACTATGTATTTCCATTTTAGTTCAAGAACTAAACTTAAATTTAAATTTTTTTTTTTTGTTTGA